TTAAATTTCCAAGAGTTTATTATCATTTTGTTTTTTTTTTAATTTTTATTTATTTATTTATAATAAATTTTATTTTTATATTCCCCATACAATTTCAACCCCCCCATTTTGACCCCAATCCCTCCCCTCCCTCCACCCCCCCCAAAAAGTGTCTCTGGTTCATAGATTTTTGTTGATTTTGATTTTCACTTTCTTATAGTTATTCATTTTCCTGGTCCCTTATTTAAGTTTTCTAGATTCCTGCTATGAGTGAGACCATCCGGTATTTTTCTTTTTCTTTTTGGCTTATTTTGCTGAGCATGATCCCTTCCAGCGCCATCCATGTTGCTGCAAATTGCATGTGTTTATCTTTTTTGAATGCTGAGTAATATTCCATGGTATATATGTACCACATCTTCTTGATCCAGTCATCTATTTTTGGGCATTTGGGCTGTTTCCAAAGCTTAGCTATTGTAAACAGTGCTGCTATAAACATAGGGGTGTAGGTGCTCTTTGGAATTGATGTTTCTGTGTCCTTTGGGTAAATACATAGGAGTGGAATTGCTGGATCATATGGAAGCTCTATGTTTAGTTGGTCCATGTTAAGAGTTTTCTGCTTGAGTCATGTTTGCTCAACTGCCACTGGCCAGAGAATGTCAAGTGACCAAGCCCTGCTTCAAGGTCTGTGAAACAGAATTCCCCGTTGAATGAAGGCATGCAAAGGGCCACACCCACAAAGAAGGGCTTGCCACTGAGCCAGCTGCCAGATTGGCAATTTATTGTTCTTGCTATAGAAATATCATGTCCCATTGAATCAGAATTTTCTTGGCTTGAAAAAGTCAAAGAAATTGTGTTTTAGTTAGATAATTACAGGGATGTAAGCCCATCCCTACTCATTCTGGAAACATTTACTATAATAAGCTTAGTTTTTCAAGTACTTGAAGCTTAGCTCCTGTTGATGGACAAAATCAAAGAATGTCCCTTAATCTTGGGGCTTTAGCATCCATGAAATTACCATTCAGTTTGAGTGACCTCCAGCATAACCAATCAAGAAAACAAATGTAATCCAGTCAAAAAATGGGCAGAAGAGCTAAAAAGAAACTTCTCTGAAGAGGAAATGCAAATGGCCAACAGGCATATGAAAAAATGTTCAACATCACTTGTAATCAGGGAAATGCAAATCAAAACTACCATGAGATACCATCTCACACCAGTGAGAATGGCACATATTAAAAAAACTAGCAACAACAAATGTTGGCGAGGGTGTGGAGAAAAAGGAACTCTCCTGCACTGTTGGTGGGAGTGCAAATTGGTCCAACCACTATGGAGAGCTGTGTGGAGATTTCTGGACCTACTAAACATAGAGCTTCCATATGATCCAGCAATTCCACTCCTAGGTATTTACCCAAAGGACACAGAAATATTAATTCCAAAGAGCACCTACACCCCTATGTTTATAGCAGCACTATTTACAATAGCTAAGCTTTGGAAACAGCCCAAATGCCCAAAAATAGATGACTGGATCAAGAAGATGTGGTACATATATACCATGGAATATTACTCAGCATTCAAAAAAGATAAACACATGCAATTTGCAGCAACATGGATGGCGCTGGAAGGGATCATGCTCAGCGAAATAAGCCAGAAAGAAAAAGAAAAATACCGGATGGTCTCACTCATAGCAGGAATCTAGAAAACTTAAATAAGGGACCAGGAAAATGAATAACTATAAGAAAGTGAAAATCAAAATCAACAAAAACTATGAACCAGAGACACTCTATGGTTCCAGGGAGGGGAGGGATTGGGGTCAAAATAAGGGGATTACAATTGTATGGGGAATATAAAAATAAAATTTATTAAAAAAAAAAGAAAACTCTTAACATCAGCATGCAGTAGGGCCTCCCTCAGTTCTGCTGCTAGTAGCCAGGTTCTTAGTGAATACGTGTGACTGTCAAGCCAGCTGCGAGATCAGAGTGAGGTTCATTTTGACCTTCTCACCCCAGCTAAGCTGGTCCCAACCAGAAATAGATGTAATATATGAAAATATTGGAGCACCTGACTGCACAGTTGTATACTCAAACTTTCCTCCTGAGCGCCTTGACTTCTTTCCCCATATTTACTTCTCCACCATGTAGGGGTGGTAAAAGGGGTGGCGCCTGATTCATTTACCAGATGTGTAGGAGGATGGGTAGTGGTGGGCCTCTGTCAACCCAATGCCTGCTTTTGCAAATCACAGAGTTTCCGAATGTGGAACAGAGTCATTAATATTAGATTGTCTATTCTGAGTCATGTCTCCCAACTATCAAACAGGAGTACTCATGGGGGAAGAATTCTTTTTTCCAAAATTGTGGCTGGCCCAAAAGATGTATGGAAACACCACAATTCAAAATTAAAGTTAGTCCTTGTATCCACAAGGAGTGAGGAGAAGCCAGCTGTTGAAGAACAGATTCCCTTGCATGTTTGCTAACAAGGCAAAATAACCCAGTTGCCTAACTAACAGTGAACTGGATCTGTCTTCCTAAGTATACGTTCCCAAATATTAGCTATTACATTAAAGTGTATTTTTATTTTTTATTTCTATTATTTTTTAAAGATTTATTTCTTTAAGCATACAAGAGTCGGGGTACAGGCCAGAGGTATGGGGGTTGAGAGGATTCACCACAGACAGAGTGGGGAACAGAACAGGCAGATTGACCAAAATACACTGCTGAGGGGAGCAGTGGGTGAGTCAGGAGCGGTCTGCTGTGCCATGTGGGTTGCTCCCTGGCTGGGGATCGAACTCATGCTGCAGTGGCTGTGAATAGCTTCATAGGTTGCATCTTAACTCCTTATGCCACCAGGGAGGCCCCAAATGTGTTTTTAATACAAAATTTTCCTGGTAAGATTGAAATAATCAAGAAGTAGAGAAGTGCATTTCTTTGACAAAAGGTAAAGAAACTCTCCCCTGGCAGCACCCAGTCCGAGTTGATAAAGTTGACACATGAAAGGGTTTTGGGTTCCAGGTCTCTCTTGTGAGAGAAATGAAATGCGAGAGAAGACATTTTGGGTTTGTCTGGCTGTCTTGCTACCAAGAAAAACTATACAAACATGGCTTTCATTTCTAAACCTTTCTCGAAATCTGATAACATATAGAAAAAAAAATCACACTGGCCTGGTTGTTCCCCAAACAAGTTTTTCATTTTTAAGATAAAAATGGGAGGATAGAGGTAGTAGCCATTTTAGACTCTTTCTCATCTAGGATTAGACATCCCGGATGGTAGAAAAAAGGGAATTTAGAATGTCATAAAACTACATAGAATTGATACCAAACAGGCCTCCATAAAACACATTTTTCCAGCTGGGCAGCTGAAAAATCAGCAGTCCCATTGCTTCTGTAATAATCCCTGGTCTTCCCAAGGCTACTCTAAAATCCCATCAGATCCTGCTCATCATCTAGAGAGGCATGTGCATTTAGCAGAGGGTATCCTGTAATAAAGAATGCACTAAAAATTGGGTAGTCAATGAAACTTCCATCCATGGTATCAGTCTATTTGTACCTCAGAAAAAAGAGAGAGCCTTGGAAATCACTATGTTTCTGCTGCATGATGGCAATTGTTCTGATGATAAGATTTAGTGGACTGAGGTGCATGAATGAGGGGGACGGTTAGGGGAGGAGCCAGCCAGGGTTATTGGAGCAGGTGTGCTGCTACTTTAAAATTCCTTAGGCCTGGCCCCGCCCCCGTTCTCTTGCTGCTGGGAGCACCTGCTGGGAGCTCAGGAGCTCAGTTCCAGGCTGGCCCCCAAGCTGACTGCGCTGTGAGTTTCAGGTAACCAAGAGTTTGCTGTGCAGAATCCCTTACCTTGGTAGCCAAGTCTCCCTTGCCACCTTCTTGCTGCTGTGGCCTGTTTGCTGAGAGTCACGGGGGTTACTACAGTGTTGCCAGGCAACAAGGGACAGCAGTCCAGGAAGAGCCATTTGTCACACTGAGGGGACTGGCTGCAATGCAATAAAGAAATGGTAACTCCCCTTATTTCGCAATACAATTACTTACACAGTATTAGGGGCCCATATTGACCCTCCAAAGACTTGGCCTTAAGAGGTGCACTGACACAAACATTTGCTCAATACTGTAATGCTAAGGCGCAGGCAGGACAGATGGTGTTGGGTTGCTAATCAGCTTTTCTATTAGCTTAAAGTTGCTGCCCACCCAGTGGTGGGGGAGGCCCCAAGTGCTCTGCCAGCTTTCCTGAGACATCTGCAGGTTAGCTCCGAGCTGCCACATGCAGTGCACATGGCGAGGAACCCCATTCCCTTCTCCACCTTGTGAAGCAGAGCTGGGGAGCTTCTTCCCTGGGGTGGGGGACCCATCAGAGAAAGACAGCAATAAAAATGTGTAGGAGATGCATGTATCCACCCTGGTGCCCCATGGACTCTTAAAGAGCTTGATTAGACCACTAAAATGAAGGATGAGTATTTACCAAGAGGATGAGTCATTCCTTCTGGACATGTACTTGAAAAAATTTTTTAAGGGTTTATTTATTTATGCATACAAGAGGTGGGCTACAGGCCAGAGATGTGCGGGGGTAGGGAGGTTGTGTGTGAGAGGATTCACCAGAGACAGAGTGGGTAACTGAACAGGCAGAATGACTGAAATAACTGCTGAGGGGAGCAGCGGGCGAGACAGGAGAGGTCTGCTGTGCCATGTGGGTTACTCCCTGGCTGGCCTGGGATTAAACTCATGTTGCAGAGGCTGCAGATTGCTTCATAGTGTGGTTCTTAACCCCTTGCACCACCAGGGGGGCCCCTTCAAAATGTTTTTGAGTTGTTTCGGCTCCAGGGTTCAGAGGCCTCTTTGTTTAGGGTGAACTCAAGCTTTTCCTTGACACTGTTTTTGCTTCCTAGACACCAGGGCTGCTCATGTCTTTGTCACCACTGCGAACACCTTTGGTCTCACCTAGTTGTGAAAACGTGCCTGCAGTTTCCCGAAAATGGAGCATCTCCGTGTCCCTTAAAGCAGCCTGCTTTCAAGTGTTGCTGGCGAGTGGCGTGGGCCTTATTACTTATTTAGGGCCACTTGATCAGGAGGAGAATGCTTTTCTGTAAACATGAATCACCTGCCTCTTGCACTGGCTTGGGCTTCTGGTTTCGCCTAACTGAAGCATTGCTCTTCGCCTATTTTGCTTCCATATGGTCAGCTGACTCGCAGGGCCTTTTTCCAAGGCTAGAGAATGTGGGAGCCTTCAAGAATGTGTCCATTGTACCAAGCCAGGCAACCTATGGGATCCTGAATAGAAGCATGTTCTGTCATGGCTCTGCTGCTGTGGGAAGTAACCGGTTCTGCACCCAGAGCATTTGTGTTCAGCATTGTCCAGTCAGGTCCTCACCCCCAGCCTACACTGTCCTCTTCTTCCTGGACCTTGGGAGCTGCCTCTCCGTACATGAGAATGATCTGCCTCCCAGCTGTCATAGCCGTTCTAGCAGTTTTATTTTTGGAAATCACAAGAATTGCTTTTCTTCTCCTTCTGCAAGGCTGGCGGCATCATTTACTATGGCCGTGCGGCTGAAACCTGAGCAAGGAGGTGTAACGTAAGTAGTGGTGCCAGTATAAGTTTTCCTAGGGTCCTGAGAAATCAGTAGTACTGAAGCTGATGGCAACTTGAATTCCAGACCAATTGTAAAGGCTAACCCTGTGGAAGTCTCACCACAGAGAGCTGACCCCTATGTTGCTCTTCCCTACTCAAGTTTATGTTCCAAACATTTTTTTTCCTAAGTTAAAATTTTTTCTCTTTTCCACAGAGGCAGTAAGTATTCAAAAAAAATGTACGTTTATGTGGATACATTTATTTCCTAATAGTGTAGCTGAATCTCTGGTCTGGTCCTTCAGAGTTTTGAGGCAGGGAGATGAATACAGGTTTCCCCTGTACATCCCACCACATAGCTTTTACAAAAGACCTGCATTAGAACTGGTTTTTGCTAACCAAAGAAATTCAAAAAGATTGGGCCGGGGTGTTTTACTTTTATAGCAGGTGAAAGTGACAAGAGCATCAGTGTGAGTTTTGCAGCAGCTGTTGTAGGGACAGCAGTGCCCCCAGCAGCGAGACTGGCCCCGCCAAGCTTTTTTCCCAGAACTACTTTATACAGGCTGTGTCTTTGTCACAGCGTTCCTGCTTTTAACTAGATGGTAGTGTTGGTTTAGGTTTTATGGGTTATTTGATATGATTTGGTAGGTTATTTTAGGGGATTTCTAAGCACACTCACTCAAAATTTTTGCATGTAACTTTATGCCATTTTGACCGGGAAACATTTCAGAGGAACATTCTACTTTTGCATCTGGGGGAAGCCTAGAATACAAATCACTGATACTTTTGTTCTTGGTCTAGGTTCATTGTAAACAAGCAGCCCTTGCAAAAGTGTAAAAATTTCACTAGGCAGACTGCTTTCTGAGGGCTTAGGACTGTGCCTTATGTATCCTTATCTTCCAGGGAAGACGTGTTTACTTGATATATGGAAGATGTTCAATAATGTGAGTCAAATAGTTGAATGAAACTCCTTATTGGAAAAGGAAACTTTTAGTTTTTTTAATCTTGTGATGTTTTCCTTTTCCAGCTGGTTAGGAAATGTACAGTAAGTATGACGTTCTCAGGAATTTTTCTGTCACTTGACCCCTGTGGCACTTCTTTGGCCAGTATGGAGTGGAGCTTCCTGAACATCCTTTATTTAGTTAACATAGTCACCTGTTTCTCATTCTGTAATAGTTTCTTCAGCTGGTAACCTATGTGTTTCCTCTCAGTGTTGAGACTCAATCTGGAAACTATAGGACAATTTTGATGCATTTTACTTATTTTCTTCTTTGTAGCTCTTGCCTCTTGTGATATTTTCTGTGTTAGAGTGTTAATCAAATACCTAAAAATGTGTGAAACAAACCAGAAAAGTCTTTTCTGGTAAGCAAATATGACTTAAACATTTTTGCTGTTTAGCTTTAATTTTCCAAATGAAAGTTGGCATACTTTTTTTTTTTTGAAAGAAATCACAAACCATTGTCCCTATTTCTGTATCTCCTATAAAAGAAAACCCTCTTTTCTTACTGTTGGAAATGTTAGTAAATTCAGTCTACTCAATTTATGTAACTAGTGTCCCAAAAGTCATAAAAAATTCTGTTGATAAATAGCTCAGATAAAATATTTTTTCCTAAACTTTTCCCAAGGAATATGTCTCTACCAGATTTGTTTTCTGTTGATATCATTTGGTATAAATAAGTTAGAGAAGTATTATTAATAGAGACAGTAGCACATGGTGTGTGGTCTTGAGTGTTCCATGCATCAAGGTCATTTCCATTCTCAAAAACTAAGATGCCTATGGGAATTGGGGGGAATTTCGGGTGTTTGCACTAGATAAGTAAAACAAACAAAACATGGATTATCCAATTATTGTTTATCCAGGAGCAGAATAAATCCAGTTCCTAAATATTTTGCTACCTGCCTGCCTCTCACATTCATTATCTACCAAAGCTAGTATGTTTACAAGCAAACAAAATAGCAAGGAAGATAATCAATAACATATTAAGAAATGCATTTTCAGTAAGCTTGGGGAAATAAGCTTGCATTTAGTAAATACATTCTTGAGTAATGGTCAAATTCTAACTTGTAGATTTAAACTCAAGAGAAACTAATAGTGGCAAACTATTCTTAGATTGTTTGAGACCCAGGGGCAAGGGATAAAGACAATCTCTCCTTCCAGTGGCTTGGAAATGCTCACCTACTAAAGGGTTAAATAAATCACTGTAGAAATTCGGTCAACCTTTATTTCTACTACTCACAGAACCTTTATATCAATTATACCTATTTGTCTAAATTAAAATTATCCTTGCCCTCAGAAGTTTATAACCAAAAATACATACAAAATACAGTAAGGCAGTGACAGTAAAATAGTGATTGTTAAGGGTTGTTCTGCAATCTTATTTATATCTCTTAACTCTGGGAAAGAGTAAATGCAAATGAGTGGGAGTAATTTGTGGAAAATGTGCCTTTAAGGGAAGTTTTAAAATATAATGAGCAGTGATTTCTTGATTGTCCCAGGCTATCCTTTGCTCTCTGATGCTTCCTACTCAATTTGATCCCTGACTCATGACTTTTTGAGGGTTTGCTGTTGACCAAACTCCTTTCTGTCTTCACAATCCTATGGGAAGTCATTGGTGTCATGACTGAGGCAGCACTGGCCTGACACAAGACCTAGATATTTTCTGAAAATTCCTTGACACTGTGACTGTTATTGCACTGCATTCTTAGAAGGCAGGATTACCTCTCATGCCAGAGCATCAGTGCTGTCTCAGAGCTTCAGCTGGGTTGTGTGGCCATGGGGAGTCTCTACTCATCACACAGACACCGACTGGTTTTTGGCCACTTAGTGTGCAGTACCGACATTCCATTTCATCAGGGGAATTAGATAGAGTGATTCTGACTCCAGGGCTGACAGTTTGGAGCCTTCTAAGTACACTAAATTCTCTTTACATTAAAAAAAAAAAAAACAAAACAAAAAGACAGTGATGAAGGTTTGGCCAGTGACTCTCCACCCAAGCAGGATCTAGTGCTTCATGCCATGTCCTAGAAAAAAAAAAAAAATCACTTAGAGAGTGGACTAAGTGTTAGCTTTGTAGGACGACTCAACTACTTTAGTTCCTATCATGAATCTCTAATAAAGATGTGGAGGTGCTGGGGAGTATTTTGTAAATAACTCTGTTTTATTGAAATCAATGGGCTTCTTAATTGGACAAAAGCTGGCTCTCAGTGGAATGACATTTGTGTGCTTTTTCATAGTGCCCTCTTTTGAGTGGAGTTTGGGGTCGTTTTCACACCACTGTCACTGCACAGTGCCTTAGCTGGTTTTTTGGTTGGATGCTGACCTTTCTCTTTTCTGGTTGCTTCTTAAGGTATGTCATAGAAAAGACAGTGGATGGGCAGACGGTGTTCAAACTCACATTATCCGAGAAAGAGACCATGTTTCATTATCGCACGGTAGATGGTTTGCAGCCTCCAATAAAAATAATGACACTGGGGAGAATTCTTGTGAAGAGATGGATTCATCTCAGTGTGCAGGTGAGTAAAATAAAAAGTATTTAACATTTGGTTAAACACAGGGATCTCTCTCCCTTTCTTTCCTTCACATGGTGTCTCCCAAGAAAACCGAAAGCAGTATCGTCGAGATTTCTAGGACGTGTAAATGATGACAATTAAAAAAAAAATAATTATCTCATGATGTATATCCTGGTAAAGCAGCATTCTCCTCCCTTCCCCAAAGTTGTTTTTAAAAGCACTCACGAAAGCTTAGGACAATGCTTTTTTGGACTAAAATCCTCAGGAAAGTTTTGTTTTATTTGATTAGTGTATTTTATTTTGTTCAAAAATATGTTGGGGCTCTTCTGGTATCTAGTAGTAATTTTACTCATCACAGCAGCATTAAAACTCCTGCCTGGTTTTTACAGCTGTCTTTCTCAAATAGCATCTGAAGATGAGAATAAAATTTGGCGGTTGCATTAAGATGTTGACCTTAGAGCTACTGAACTTGACACTTGAGACACTCAGAAGGTGTTATATTATTACTTGAGTTGTCCACTGCAGTTTGTATTAACCTTAGAAGCTGCTAAAGGCTGAGATAACTGTGAGATGTCTGCTACTTTACTCTCCTTAGAATAGAGATGCAGCTTACTCTTTTGTTTCCGCAGGGATCTAGAATAGCCCACTGCAGCCAAGAGCTCCCTTGCCATTCATAGCAGGCCTCCAGAGTGCTCAGTTCCAGTATATGTTCCCACAAGGTCGTCTAGACAGGGGTTGACATGGACCCTGTTTCCACTGCATCCTCATTCGTATTGACAGTCATTTTTGAGTTCCCACATGTTTCCACCCTGAAGCAGGGAGCGAGGTGACTTCCTTAGAAGGTCTTGGGAATTGCTATTTGGCTTTAAAGTTTGTTTTAGCATAGATATTGTTCTTGAGGCTATCAATACACTTTGTACATACCTTCATTTTCCCAGATTATAACTAAAATTTTGCCATGTAATTTGCATAGCAGTGTCTTAAAAGTCACAGGAAGACAATTATAAACACAGAGAGGTAGCAATGACTGATTTCTATAGGAGGATATATTCAGTATACTTAGTAATACTGAATCAGCGTGCTGTGCCTTGTCTACTCAGATTTTGTTGGGATGTGAGTACAGAAAATGTGGTTGGCAGGGAGCAGCATGTCCATGCTGCTGGGATAGAAAATCCTCCAAGAGGGTGGTCTTGTTTGGTGCTGATGGCTTCAGTGCACCAGTGCTCACTTGTCCTTTGTTTGGTGGTTAGCAAACAAGTGGTCTTCAAGCAGCCCATTCTACACACTACCACTGATGAGTACAGGAGAATTGGGTTATAATGTGACAAATGGAGAAACAGCAACTGCTAAAGACAGGGAGTCTGCAGAAAGTGCTAACCAGATGTGTGTGTTGTATATTTTTTGTATCAACAGTGATAAAAATATTCTTTTCACTGGCCTTTCTTTTGCCTCATCTGTGAAACTGTGCCATGTTTTAGCAGACAGTAGTAAGTTAAATGCTTTTACAAAGAAAGTTTAAAATCTAAATGTGAAGAACTTAACCATGACTGAATTACTCTCCTGGGGATAAAATGCTCTTAGTGTGCCTATTGAATCAACATTATCATTTCAATACTTGTCAAATATGAGTCATTTCCGGGTTTAGGCAAAAATTCTTTATACATCTTTAAATCTTACCCTTCTTTCAAGAAAAGGTTACTGTAGTTATGATTTAATGAGACTGCTTTATTTCATATCTGTTGACTATAAAGAGAAAACTTGTCCTTTCCAATTTATCTACTTTATTTTTACATAAGTTTTTTTTGGGGGGGGCGTAGTCCACATTTTCCATTAAAACCGCAGGACTGAACAGTGACACAACTTTCAGAAAATCTTTCAGATTGGTCTTTTCTTCACATAGCATTTGTCTGAATGGTTTCAGGTAGCTGGCATTAGGAGATGCTGGGTTTATGCAAATGAAAATTCTCAAGCTATTTTTGGCTTTCAATTTAAAAATCTGCTAAGGGTTCCTTTACATTGGACACCAGCTTGACTATATCTAAGATTTATTCTGAAATTGATAATGCTTCCTGTTATAGAGGTTCAATAGGGAATGTGTTCATTCCTGAAAGTTGTTACAAAGTAGTGAGGACAAGAGATTCCACGAAGGGAAATCTGTTTCAGGGAATTCTACTCTGTAAGCCAACAAATTCACTTCCTTGCTTTCCTTATTATAGTGTATATAATTTTACAATTTAGCTGAGGGACAAAATCATGTGTCCTTGACTTCTGCATAAAAACATGAGTATAGAGTGAGGCACCACTAAAGTATGGTGCCCTGTCAAGCTGTATTGGGATGTGTAGGTAGTGACAGAGCTCCTGTAGCTCAAGATGAGGCTTCTACTTTTTTCCTGCTTCCTCCACTTGCCTGGTATTAAACAGGCACATTTTATTTGGGTAGATTTTATGGGCAAGCTTTGCACCAGTGCAACTTGCATCTCTTTTACTGTATAACTGCAAAGAAAATATTTAATTATGAAATGTAATTTACATACTGTTGTATTATTAGGTAGTGCATCCTGGATTCTGTTGGATTTTAGGATTAGGAATTTCTACTATGCTCTGCATAAGATGGAACATATAATTAATAATCTGCTTAGTCAGTTTTCAAATTGCAAGTTTGTAATTAATGTGTGTGTTTATTCAGTTCAACGTGGTCACAAGTCAGTGAATTTGTATGGGTGTGTGTGTACATACTATATGTGTGTATATGTACATATGTAAAACACATGACTTTACTCATGGAATTGGTTCAACTTACCTCAGACAGCTGACTCAGTATCAGCTTCCCATCGGTAAAATCAGAATTCTAATTTCAAAATTCTAAATTCAGAAAAAAAGAAATGAGTTTTAAATAATTAAATCCCTGGGCAAAAAAGATGCTGTGAAGAAGCAGACATTCTGAATATTGGAAGTCTAATTTCTTAAACAAAAAAAAAGCCCAATATTATAGTGATGGATCTAATAGTTTTTATTCAAGAACTAGCATTTTGAAGCTTCAACCTGTTGGAAAATGATTAGTTTTTAAATTAATATTCATTCAGGGACTGGAATCTGACACGATTGGCAATTTAAATTTCACTTTGGGGTTTATTATATTGGCTATTTCAAATTATATCAAGCTGAAATTCGTTATGTCATATTTTTGTACTAAAACTGGAAAAAATCAATTCTGACTTTTTATTATCAAATGGGGAACACTGATAACATTAGCATTTTTTTTAAGCTCAGTTTTCATACTGAATCAGCACACACTGTGGTTGATATAAGAAATCACTTGATTTTCTTTTAAAGAAGTTTCCTTTTAAAGAAGTTTTGAAATACATGAGGGGATTTTATGTCAGTTTGCTATGGATTGGTAGGTAAAACAGCTTGGAAGTGTATTCACTTTTTTTTTAAATTGGGCTTGAAGGTTTTATTTATTTTTGCATAGAAGAACTGGGATACAGGCTAGAGGTGGGGGGCTGAGAGGAGTGAGAGGATTCACCAGAGACAGAATGGGGAGCAGAATAGGCAAATTTGCTGAATTACACTGCTGAGGGCAGCAGAGGGTGAGACAGGACAGGTCTGCTGTACCATGTGCTTTAGCTCTCTGGCCAGGAATCCAGCTCAGGCCATTGCAGTGGGCCTTCACAGTTGTAGCCCTGAGATTTCACCCCTGGGCCACCAGGGAGGCCCCATGTATTTGCATTTAGTTGCGTATAATTTAAAAGGAAAATCTCAGAGCTTCCAATGGAAATACTTTTTCCCTTCAGCAATTCCACATATTTTATAGGACAAGTAGTATCAAAAAAGCATTATGTAGTTATTATTCAGGAATTATACTGAAATGCAGTAAAACAATTACTATAATTGAAGCTGATGAATTACAGCAACTATGGAGCCAAGAAATGGCTTAGCAATGGGGTCATTCAGGTTTTTTCAGTATTCTTAAGTCTCCTTAATACACTGACAATTCAAGAGCCAAAGATAGTTTGAAGTACAATTGTGTGGAAAGAGCAGTTGTAATCTGACACACTGGAGGGAAAATCACATGGGTAAATAAAGTTTCAGGAATCGATAGATGAAGAATAGGATTTTCATGATCATCGTTTGTTCATGAAATATGTTCCTTTGATGTATGTATTCAATCTGGAAAAGGAAAACTATTGATAGTCTGGAGAAAAGGAAAATGCGATTTAGCCAACATTTGTTAGAATAGTTACACCACGTCTCTCAATTAATCTCTGTAGTGTATGCCCATGTGCACACTTTATAAAGGCATTTTCATATCCCCATTGATTTGAAGGAACATAAACTTCCCTTGAAGCCTTATGGGAGATTCCTCGTTCTGGTCAGTAAACTTATACCTGGGTTCTCAGGAGAAAACTGCCTCAATCCCCATTCAGTGGATCTGAAGCTATACATTTCTTTCCTTTATCAAGTTCGTTTCTTGTAACTCTATTTATATGTGTATGTGTGTATTTATTTGTGCAAAGCCAGTTTGCAGCCAGCTGAGTATCCCCCAAGTTGGTTCAATAGTTTAAGATTTTTCAAAACTAAGTAGGGATCAATAGAATTTAATGAAGCTTTTCAGAATAATCAGTTAAAAATGATGATAATAATAGCTGCCATTATTGAGCCCTGATTATGTGCACTGTATTAACTTTGTACATGCTTAATTTTCAAATGTTAATAATAGCTCTCTGACATTGGCTTGTATTATCTCCATTATAGAGATGAGAAAAATGAGCTCCAGGAAGGTTAAATTACTCTAAATTTATAATCTCAAGTTTGTCTGACCTTTAATTAAATGATAATAAATTACCATAAACCTAGGTCACTGTGAAGACCCTTGTCAAAAATGTAAGAGCTGAAAATACATATTTGTAATGTAAATACAAATTAATTTTTAGACATGTTTGGACATATTTATGTTATAAATATTTATAATGCTTCACATATTTACATGATTTCTATACATA